TAGGTTCTGAATTGTGGTCTGGAGAATAGAGGTTGCTAGATTGTCCTTCAGAAAAGACCAGTTTCCACTGTCCCCACAACAGGAATATTTGGGTATTATTTGGTTATTCACAAGGCGTCTGTTTTGGAATGCTGGAGATACTTGAAATATGAAGATGGAGCTGGTTTTGACTTAGGAATGTTTGCACATTCTTGATATAATGTCTGCCCTTGAGAAGTGAAAGATAAACTTGCTAATTGACTTTGCCATTTGTAGAAAGGTAGAGCTTTTCCCTCTCCTTCTTCCCTTTCTCTTCTCTTTCTCGTTCCTGTCTCTTCTGTCTCTCTTCCTTTTCCCCTCCTAGATGTCAGAGGCTGGTCCCACAGGGCAGTGGGATGGAGAAAGCTCTCGACTGTCGTGGCAGTGGTGGTGTGGACATGCCTGGGACCTTGGGGTGCTGAGGTGTAGGAGCGTGGAGGTGGTGAGCCAGGAAATGGCTGGAGTGGCTACTTCATGAGTTAGTTTAACCGTCCTTTTTAGAGCATGATACAAAAAGAAGATACCAACTTTAAATAGTATATAGTTGTTTGTTAAAAAAAGGAAGATATATATTATTCATAAGTCCAAATGTAAATTGATATCAAAATGAACTGTCTGGTCACTATTGTTCTGGTCCCTGAAAAAGAGATTTAGTATTGTGCTGCAGTTCACTGAACGTAGAATGGGTTGCTGTCTAAAACTAGAGTAGGATTTTAACCCCCACCCACCCAGTCAGCAGCTATCAGGAATGTCTTTCTGTGTCTCAGAGAAAGGAGAGTTGTGACTGTGAACATTTGAGTTGTTGTACTGGCACACGTGGGAATATTTCAGTCTTTGGCTAATGCACACGGAACCTTCAAGGAAGAAACTCATAGACAGCAAGGGCAGGTATATAGTAGAGGACAAACCTATTAGGAGTTAAAGCTTAGAGGATACATATCTGAACCATATATAGTCATATTTCCGTATCCACAGGAGATTGGTTCCAGGACCACCGAAGATACCAAAATCCGTGGATGCTCAAGTCCCTTATATAAAGTGGCATAGTATTTGCATATAACCTATGCACATCTTCCCATATACTTAATGCAATTTAAATGCTATGTAAATAGTTGTTATACTGTATTTTTTTTATTTGTATTTCTTTATCGGTTTTTTAAAAAAATTTTTTTTCCTGAATATTTTTGATATGTGGTTGGTTGAATCCATGGGTATGGAACTTGCGGATATAGAGGGCTAACTGTATGTAAAGTGGAGTGGAGAGAATGAAGTTTCTTTTAATGTTTGCTTATTTAGATTGATAAGGCTTCTCCTGCTTGGCTCCATTTTGGATTTATTGAGCCATGTAGGTGTATTGTTATTGTTATACAGTTATCATTGCTGTGTAACAAGCCCAGAAATTAAAGCCTTAAGACAATAGCCACTTATTTGCTCACAATTCTCTGGGATAGCACTTTAGGCTGAGTTCATCTTTGCATATCTTCTGCTGGTCTCACCTGGGATCACTCGTGGCTTTAGGCATCTGGTGGCCTACCTGGGGCTGCATGGTTTAGGATGGCCTTACTCACATGTCTAAGAGTTAGCAGGCTAACTTGGCTCTCTTTGTCACCTCTCCAACAGGCTAGCTCCAGTTCACTCACATCATGGCTTCCAGCCACAGTCATCAACAAAGGGGACACATCCATCGTAATACACAAATGCTCTTCAAGCCTCTGCTTGTGTCTCATTTGCTAATGTCTCTCTGGTGAATTTAAATCACATGTACAGGTCCAGATGCAAGGGGTGGAGAAATAAACTCTACCTCTTGATAGAAAGAGTGGCAAAGTCACATTTCAAAGACGGTGGGCATACAGGGATGGAAGGAATTGTTCTGGCCATGTTTCCAAACAATTTACCACAGTAAGACAGGAAACATGAGGAGAAAGGATATAGTTTAAGGATTTGTTCAATGACAAACGTGGCATACAGGCTTAAAAACAGTAGGCACTTTATATAGTATATTTGGTATTATATTTCAACATAAGAGTAATTGTATTAGAATCATTAGCTTGTACCATTCACTTTCTTAGTGATGAACATACCCTGTGCAAATCAGTCTTTCAATTAAATGTTTATTGGACATCTCAATGGGCCAGACACTGTTCTAGGTGATAGGGACACAGCTGGGGGAAAAAAGCACACGTAATTCAATATGTATAAAAGTCAGAAGTAACAGAAACTTGCAACTTATTAGTGTGGCTTTTGGTTGTGAATTTGAGGCAGCAGAGTTTGTTCTGTATGCAAGAATGCCACAGAAGCAGATTTTTATCAAGACTTTAGCCTCTGCAAAGTTTGGTTTTAAAGAGCAACTCAATAATTGGTTTCTCTGTTAATAGTAAATCTGTATATTTTAAAAATTATCACATCTAAGAAATTACCTATAAAGGGAGAAGGATTCAAGTACTTTTCCTAAAGAAGGCTGATCTTTTAATCAACAGATATTAAAGGAATAAGCAGTGGTTATATTTTTATATCTACCAATGTAACTAATTCTAAGGTATTATTTAGAAGTTATTCAGATAACTATTCAGTCTCGAGCATCTCCCATCTACCTGCCAGGTGGTTTGCAGTGTGAGGATGACCAGGAAACCTTGAGAAAGTCTTGGCTACATGGGACCAGTTAGGAAACTCGGAGTCATCTTTTGTCAGGCCAAATTAATTGGGTCCTAGTGATAGAATGTCAGAAATAAATGCAAAAAGTTGCATGGGAACTTTTATAACAGCAGTCTTGTTCACCCTTGATAAGATTATATTCTTATAGGATGAAAGTTGTTATAAAAATGACTTGTTCAGTTTTCCAGGTTGGGAGAAAGTCTTTTATAATTAATCATGACCCGTGTAAAAAAATCAAAACATTTCCGTTGTTTCTTTATTTTCTATTGTGTTTAACTTTCTAGAAAGCTCTAACAGTCTCCTTTAATCCCAGTGGTAGCAATACTGGAAAAACTTGTTACTCTAAAAATGCTACCTTTTGTTGGATGACATTGGAAAGGTGAGGAAGTTGGAGGTGATCCCCCCCCCTTGCTTTTTCCTTTGCTTTATGAACCTTTTTCTTTCTTTTAAAAATTTTTGTCACTTACATAATTTTTTGATATCTTTTTTCCCTCTTCTATCTTTATGATGTTGAAACTGAAAGGAAAAATGGAGCTGCCAAGATGAGTTACAGTTACGGGACTTTTGCTTATGACATTGTGCTAGGCATTGTGCAAAGTGAACTAAACCAACAGTGTTCGTGCTGCCAAGAACTGAAGGGCAAAGTAGAAAGGAAGATAAATAGGTTCTGGTTTGCTGTGCAGGAAGGTTAACATCTGTTAAAATACAGCATTCAGGGCCAGCCCTGTGGCTCACTTGGGAGAGTGTGGCGCTGGTAGCGCCGAGGCCGCGAGTTTGGATCCTATATAGGGATGGCTGGTGCACTCACTGGCTGAGCGTGGTGCAGACCACACCGTGCCGAGGGTTGCGATCCCCTTACTAGTCCAAAAATAAATAAATAAATAAAAATAAAATACAGCATTCATCCTTCAGAAAGTACATTTATTTATTTTTTCCTTTTTGTCTTTTTTCGTGACCGGCAACGGATCGCAACCCTCAGTGTCGCGCCTGTACCGGACTGGGACCGGCAACGGGATCGCAACCCTTGGTGTTGCGCTCGCACCTCGCTCAGCCAGTGAGCGGCTGGTCTGTATGTGGGATCCGAACCCTCGGCGGGAGCGCCACCGCACTCCTAAGCGGCACACTGTAGCAGTGCGCCACCAGGCCGGCCCAGAAAGTACATTTAAATTTCGCATTAAATTAAATCCAACATTAAATGTAAATTTGACATTAAGTGTACTTTCTTCCAGTAAGTACCTTTAAATTCTGATATTACAGTACATTAGATATACTGTAATATGAAGTTATGTTGTTTGAATGCTCAAGGGATGACTGTAGCTCTAACCTTGAACTGTATGTGATCTGAGCTCATTGGAGAGATTGGCAGGTTTATATGAGGGAAGCACAACGTGAAGGCTCTATTGGTTAGGTATCGGTGTGGGTAGGGAGGAGGGGAGCCCCTGAGTTACTGTTGACTGAAACAGATGGATAACAGTGAAAAAAGACAGAAACAAAAGCTCTAACTGGAATCAGGGGCAGCGTGTCTCTTGCTCACAATTAGCAGTAGTTGGTGACGAAATTTTTGGCAAGTGTAACAGGGCTTTGGAGAGCTCTTATTCAGAACCAGAAGTTAATCTAGAGATTTATTTTGAAAAGTATTTTAAAGGTATGGATCTATGCTCCCCATTTGTCAGCAATACAAATAAACAATATTGACCATCTGTCTTCAGACATGCAAAGTATTCTTGAAAAGTATAAAATAAAGCTGTATGTCTTAGTCTGCTTTGTGTTGCTTTAATAGAATACCTGAGACTTGGTAATTTATAAAGAAAAGAGTCTTATTTGTCTCCAATTCTGGAGGCAGGGAAGGTCCAAGAATCATGGAGCTGGTGTCTGCTGGGTTTCTGCTAAGGGCTTTTGTGCTGGGTCATAATGTGGTGGAAGGTCAAAGGGGAGGCAGCCACTACGATGGGACCAAACACAAAGGGTGTCTGCTTTATAATGACCTGCTCTTGCCGAAAATCATCTTTTCCCCAAGAACTGATCCAGTGTTATGAGAGTGAGAACTCTCTCACTACCTTGAGAACTGCAGTAAGCCACCCAGGAGGGCAGAGCCCCCATGACCCAGCTGCCTCCCACTGGGCCCCGCCTCCTGACACTGTCACTTTGGGGATCAAATTCCAACATGAGTTTTGGCAGAGACAAACCACATCCAAACTGTAGCACCACAGAACTAGTGTTTTTAAAAAGATGAAAACTTTTTAAAAGGATGAAACTGTCCAACGCTAAAGTTTAAGATGTTAAAATACGTCCTGTGTGCTAATGGGTATATTTTACTCTTTCTTTTGCAGACATACATTGGAAGTGTGGTTATATCTGTTAACCCATACCGGTCCTTGCCCATTTATTCACCAGAGAAAGTGGAAGATTACAGGAATAGGAATTTTTATGAACTGAGCCCTCACATGTAAGTGCTGTATTAAAGCATTAATTTTCTCTTTTACTCCAGAGATGTGTAGTTGACAGATGTGTGCAGCTGTCTCCTTTGAGTCTCAGGAAAATGTTCTAGTCATTTTTTTAAAAATCAGATAAAGGAATGTAGAAGTTAATTGTTGTGCTTGGTTTTAAATTTTAAAAAAGGCAGAATACTTCATTTGGTGTCAGACTCTTTAAGTTCTGAAATATTTGGGTTCAGCATGTAAAATGTTTTCTGTTAAAAATTCTGTGTAAATAGCAGCTGCTGCTAATTATTTTTGCAAATAAAACAAGAATGTGCATTGTTTATTATATAAAGAGCCCAAGCAGCATTTTCTAGTCTTGTTGGGCTGAGAAAGATCCTAAGTATTGGGTGTGTGGTGGTATTTGGGTAAAAGGACTAAACAATACCTTTAATTTATAATCTTCGTGTACATTGTTCACCAGATGCGTGCGATAGGCCAATGATTTCACCTTCTTTGAAGTTAGTCACTAGTCTGATTTTTCTGAAAAAGGTCACTTATTAGTGCAAATCATTCCTTCACAATACATGTAGATTCCATTTGTCTACTCTTTCAAGGTAAGTTCTTTGTTGATGTGCTTAAGAGATGCCGAAATGATTCTGCCAATTTATACCACTAGAATTTAGTTTTCTAGTCTGAATGACTGAAAAATAACACTGGGAAAGTTTTCTTGGGTTTGGTGGATCAGTGGCAGAACTGAGTTCTTAGACTCTAGAACTTTTGATTCCCCAAATAAAAATGTCTGAAAAAGAAAAAATTAGGAGAATACCCAGAAATGATATAAACAATACCTTACACTTTTGACTTCTCAAGTTATGTTACACTTACTGATACCCAAGACAAGTATGTTCACTGTTGACATTCTCATGTCCACTATTGAGTTTAAAGAGAAGGAAAAGAGAATGATGCCTAGCTGGGCATCAGAGACCTCTCCACTTGTTACTTAGGCAGAAGCATTTCCTGCCCCTTCCTGTGGCCATGCGAGTGTTTTACTAGAATTCATGTTCTCCTTATTGCCAGGATCTTCCACTGGCCCATGAAGTCTTACAGAGAGACATTAGTAGATGAAATATAATGCTTTTTATGTGATAAACTGTTGAATGTGGGGTTAGAATATTTGGGAACTGCTGCTGAACGCTGGATTGGGACTAATGTATGCAAAAGTGCATTGAAGGGTGTCAAGAGCTGCTCGAGGCTACATTATTTATCATTACTACCATTATTATTACCTTTTAGCAATAGCTTTGTTCTCTCTCTCTCAAAACAGATGACATGCTGCAAACAACCGCAAATTGTCATGCAATATATATAAATATGTGTTCCTGTAAATATCAGTGGAGAAATATTTGGAAAATGTCTTGACTGTGGAAAGGATTTATTGGTGATTGGGGTATGGAGGGGGGCATTTGAGTATGCTTAAGCTGCCAAATTGTAGTCACTTCTGGAATTTGGAGGTTTTTTTTTGTTTGTTTGTTTTTTAAGCAAAATCAGTAGTTCTCAAGCAGAGGTGATTTTTGCCCTTCAAGGTACATTTGATGATGACTGGAGACATTTTGGGTTGTCACAGTTGGGGGTAGGAGGGTGTTACTAGTGGGTTGAGGTCAGGGATGCTGCTAAATGTCCTATAATGCACATGACAGTCCCCCACAATAAAGAACTATCTGCTAACCATGTCAGTAGTGCCTAGGTTGAGAAACCTCGAACTAAAGTGAAAGAACCTACAGAAAGTCTTAGTTGTGTCCTAGCAGTAAAGGATTTTCTCTGTACTATTAAAGATCAGCTCTATTAATTTTGATAGAAAATAGAATCTAATAATTAAGGAATCTGTATATATCATTAAAGATTTAAGTAATTTGTGAAGATAATTATTAAAAACTGTGAATAGTATAGATTTTACCAATCAGGCAGATTCTGATTATTACATTTTCTTCTGGAAGTTAAGTTTTTTGCAAGTGATCTTGTTTCACTTTGCCTTAAGAAAAATAAAATCTGAAATTTGTTTTATAAAGTTATCCCTATGTTAAGCCCTTGTGATGAAGTACTTTATTTGATGCTTGAATATTTATTTTATATTTTAAGCTTTGAAGCCATGCTTCTCAAAGTATGATGATTGGATCAGCCGTGTCAGAATCCCCTAGGGACTTAATGAAAAATCTGGTTTCCTAGTTCTTACCTCTAACAAGCCAGGATTCTACATTTTTCACAAGCTTTCTGGGTGATTTTTATGAACACATAAGTTTGAGAACATGTTGTTTTGGATCTATATTTACAAATGTTTTCTGTACCCTTTTTTTTTTTTTTTTTTGCCTTTTTGTCTTTTTTTGTGACCGGCAATGGATCGCAACCCTCAGTGTTGCGCCCGTACCGGACCGGGACCGGCTACGGGATCGCAACCCTCGGTGTTGCCCCCGCTCCTCGCTCAGCCAGTGAGCAGCCGGTCTGTATGTGGGATCCGAACCCTTGGCGGGAGCGCCGCTGCGCTTCCCAAGCGGCGCACTGCAGCAGTGCGCCACCGGGCCGGCCCTTCTGTACCCTTTTTAATTACATCCCTCAAATTGTGATCTTTCACAATAATAGTAACAACAATATTAATAAAAATAGCTAGTATTTATTGAGTACTTACTATCTGCAGGCACTGCTCTAAATACTTTACATGTGTTATAACTCATTTCATTCTCTAGATAGTCCTGTGAGGTAGGTACTACTAAAGATGGGGATATTGTCACAGAAAGATCAAGTACTTTATCCAAAGCCACACCACTGGAGGGGGAGTGGAGCCACAGTGTAGACACAGTCATCTGCTGCTCTTCTCAGCTGGAAATGGGCTCACCATTTTTATGGCAGGGCCTCTTACTGTGTACTTCCATCCTGCTTGTGTTTCTGCACCCCAGGCCCTCCAAGATAATCTTGACTGTGCCTCAGTTTACCTTGAGAGGCTGTCCACATGCCATTTTTCCATTTATAGCTTAAATCTCCATTTTGAGGATGTTTAGATATATAATGTTTATGTAAATAGAGAATGTTTAGTAGAAGTATAGATGTTCATGCTCCACAGTATCCATTTTTACCCTTGCCCCTGAAAGAATCCTGTAGGAGGCAACATGGCAGTGCCATCCTGGTTCACCCCTCTCCCCCCCAAGGAAAACAACCATCACCAGTAACAAAGTAAATTCTCAATATACTTAGGATAAAGAAAAAGTCTTCTTACCATGGCCTACAAAACCCTGTACATGGTGTGCAAGATACAGCTTTTCTTGCCTTGATCTTTCAGTCTTCAGTCTCACCACACTTCCTCCCACCGCAGCATCTTTGCACATTCTGTGCCTTCTACCAGGAATACTTTTTCCTCTCTCTTCCCCAGAGCAACTCCTGTTCTTCCTTCAGACCTCAGATGGCATTAGACCTCCTCAGGGACCAAGACCCTTCCCTCACCCGCTCCCTGCGGAGGCCAGGTCTCTTGTACTTGTCACAGTTGCAACTTAATAAATGTTAATTGTAATTATTAACAACATAACAAATGTTAATTACAATTTAACATTTATTAAATTGTAACTGACAAGAATTATTTGACCTGGAATATAGTAATGGTTCAGAAAAAGGCATTGAAGAGGACTTGGGTTCAAGTACCAGCTCTTCCATTTATAAGCTATGTAATGTTGAGCAAATTACTGAAAGAAACTTCAACTCGGGGAAATTAAGTAGTTTGCTTTGTTCAATGGGAAAATAATTATTAACTCATTGGGTTTTTGTGAGGGATAAATAACTATTGATATTTAGATAATACTATTTAGATAATCTGGTATATATGTAAAGTGCTTATCTTGGAATCTGCCATAGCCCTGTGGTAAAGGATAGCTACTGCTCTTAACAATGATAATTATAATAATCGTTGTAATAATAAGTTACGTGGAACACATTTCTAACATTCTTACATGCTCTTTCTTGCCGCTTTCTTCCTGGTGGGACATTTTCCACTTCCTTTAATGCATTTCCCTGCATTATTCTTTGTGAATGCCCATCTTCGACAGTAACTTCAAAAAAAGTCAATGCTAACTTGGTTCCTAGACTGACATTCTCAAATAGGATGTTTGTGACATAAAAGGGTAAGATGGCTTTAGCTTTTGATGCGCTCTAACTGTAACCATTTCAAGAATTTGGTTCCAATTTGAACAGAAAATAACTTAGGCAGATGCTCAGACTATATACTTTGAAAAATTTGCAAATTAATTTACCCCAAATTACATTTGGAATTCAATTTGAGCTGTTGTTCATTGTCACTCTGCAAAGGCATCCAGGTATTTTTTTGAAGGTATCTTGAATTTATCTTTCTTTAAATTTCAGACAGTTAAAAAATATTTACATTCCATGTAAGTACATGACTTTCACTTAGTGGTTTCTTACCAATATTTCTTTCAAAAATAGGTTTATATTGTCATTTGCAGGATTTTTAGTCTCCCAAACATCAAACTCCTCAGCTGGACTCATTTTCTCCTTCTTTCTCTGAAGTCCTGTCCCCTTTATGTTTTGAGCTACACCTTTGAGCGTGATGTCATTGGGTGGCATCTCCAGGGAAATGTGGCTCTGCTGGGTGGCCAAGTCTATACCATTTCTTTTTCTAATTGTGTAAGGAATGTCTTTGCAGTGTGACTTTTAAATTATTTGAAAATAAGGAATTTTTTTATGTGTCCCAGGGAGGCTTAGTACAACTCAGTAACTGGATTTCAGACAACTCAGTAACTGGATTTCAGACAACTCAGTAACTGGATTCATTGAGAACTGCTTCAAATTGCCAAGGTCTCATAGACAGGAATGAATAAGAGATGAGAAAGGAGGAAAATAATCGAGCTACTTAATCTCCTTCCACTTCATTGGAACAGCACCGTGACAGTAACCTTCAGGTATTTTAGTTACCCAATCCCCTGGCTTTTTTGGGGTGAATCCCTTTTGACATTGCAGCATTATGTAGTTT